TGTCATTTCCACCCATCAGAGGCTTAAAAAACCCTCTGGAATGAAGATCCCAGACTGGTTTGGGTTGGGAAGGATCTGAAGGATCATCCAGTTCCACCCAATTCCAGCGGGCAGGGACACCCTCCACTGCCCCAAGGCTGCTCCAACCTGGCCTTGGACACTTCCAGGGACGGGCAATCCCCCCTCCATCCCGGCTGGACACAAATCCTTGGATCAGAGCTCTGCCCACAGATGCCAAACCCACGTTTTAAGCCCCAGGGCCTCCCCACCCTCCCAGGAACCAAGGATTGACCCCAAGGCCGCCGTTTCCTCCCTGGGCAAAGGCAAAGGTCTCCGTTGGGAAGGCCCATCCCGGACTTACGAAAACGCCGGATTATCCTTGTAGTCCTCCATAGCGACCTTCTCTAGCTCGGGGCCCCCTTCAGCCACGAACCTGGCCAGCTTTTCCACCACCTCCCGGGTCTCCACGTCCTCTGGGGGCAGAACTTTAAGCAGGCTGTCAGTACTGGGGCCAACCCACAACCACACAGGAACAGCAACCTCTGCCACACCCCTGGAGCGGGAGCAGGGAGCAGGGAATGGGGCATCCATCGGACACGGGCGTGGAATCCCCGTTCCCAGCTCACTGGTGGGCTCTGACCCCCGTGGCAGTGAGCAGGCTGGGTGGTTCCTACGAGGAAAAGCCCGAAATGTGGATCCCAGACCGGGTTTGGGTTGGGAGGGAGCTCAAAGCCCGTCCAGTGCCACCCCCTGCCAGGGGTAGGGATGCCTCTCCCAGCTATCCCAGGCTGCTCCAACCCAGCCCTGGGCACTTCCAGGGGTGGGGAATCCACGGCTCCATCCCCGGGTGGAGGTTCAGCTCAACCCAGCTGAACCCAAACCCCCTCCAGCTGTGGCACAACTGGCTCCTGACCGTTTATATTCCGTAAAAAACACGCCAGGGAGGGCCGGGAATTTGGGCTGAACCACCATGTTACTCACTGGGGATTCCAGATTCCAGTTCCCAAGACATTCCCTGTCCCCAGCTCGTGGGCACAGACACTGTGTGGCTGGAGCAGCAGCTCTTCCTGCTGGCACTGCCCCACGTCCTGCTCCCAAAAAACTGGATTTTGGCTTCTGGGCCAAGGAAAAAGCCCAGGAACTCCAACAGGGATGATGGTCCCAAGATGGGTGTTCCTGCATCCCAAACTGATGGAGCACAGGGATCACTGACCTTTGATCTCCAGCCACGGCTCCTAGTCCTGTCCCTACACTGACCCCTATCCCAGGACTGGTGTTCCTGCATCCCAAACTGACGAACACAGGGAATCCCTGACCTTTGATCTCCAGCCACTGCTCGTAGTCCTGTCCCTACACTGAGCCCTATCCCAGGATGGGTGTTCCTGCATCCCAAAGCTCCAGAGCCCAGAGAACACTGGCCTTTGATCTCCAGCCACTGCTCGTAGTCCTGTCCCTACACTGACCCCTATCCCTGGACTGGTGTTCCTGCATCCCAAACTGACGGAACACAGGGAATCCCTGACCTTTGATCTCCAGCCACTGCTCGTAGTCCTGTCCCTACACTGACCCCTATCCCTGGACTGGTGCTCCTGCATCCCAAAGCGATGGAGCACAGGGAATCACTGACCTTTGATC